CGGTAGACTGAGTGACAAGGTACTCAAATGAAAATAAATGTTCAGAACTGCACAGCAATTCTCCTAAGCAATGACCAGCTCCATTTATAAGTCTACCAGCTTGGACTCCACGTGGTCGCTGGATACTTTGATGCATAGACAGGACTGGCCACTTGAACCCATGCGCATCTGTACCTTGGGGAAATACACGAAAGTACTTCTACTTCACTAGGTACGGTGGGTGCAGGATAGATGTAGCGTGGGTGCTGGCATGGGGTCGCTGAGACGTGCCCAGGGGTCCGTGAAGCCTTCTCTGACATGTGACACTTGAATAATCTTGAGAACAGGAAGGTAGGGGGTGATGGGTGGTAGAGGATTCCCAGGGAGAAGAAAAATTTTCAGGGGAAACCTAACCCACTGACCATTTTGTCCTTTAATTTCATGTTTTGTTTGTTTGCTTGTTTGTTTACTATAAATTGGAAAAAGGCGACACTATCTGATTGCTAGCAGTGGGAAAAGTCTGTCCAGCTCTTATTTTCCAATGAGGTAGTGAACTAATGGCTGTTTGTAGATCCATATGGTCTTCTTAAGTCCAGAGCAATTGTGGTGTTTAAATTCACAAGCCTCTGGATGCATTTCCATCCAATAGATAGAGTAAGTTGGTTCTTAAAAGCTTTGAAGCTCTAAAATCAGGGGACTTAGGTGGCTCATAGTTAAGTAACCAGCTCTTGATTTCGGCTCAGGTCATGATCCCACGGTTCATGGGTTCGAGCCCCGTCCCGTGTCAGGCTCTGCGCTGATAGCTTGAAGCCTGCTTAGGATTCTCTCTCTCCCTCTCTCAACCCCTCCCCAACTTGTTCTGTCTCTCTTCTCTCAAAATAAATCAACATTAATAAACGAGGTTTAAAACCAGTGTACCCTTATTTTCTTTGCTTAATAAAAACGGACAGCCATCTTTCCCCCAAATAGACAATTTTTAATTTTTTCTGCTAAGGTTGAAATGAATGTGTCCCATATTTGTATGGGAAAATCTGTGGAGGCATCATTTCTCACGGTGAAGCTTATCGTTTCCTTAATTTGCATCATGCTTGTTCATCTCCCCTTAGAACCTTTTCACTACTCTCACGGCTTTTACCTTCTTGGACACGCTAGGATGTGTAACGTTCCTCAAACAACCCCAAGATGGCAGGACTAAAACACACAAAACCTGTGACCGTGGACGTCAACTTTTAGAGACGGGCGGTATGGATCAGCCTTTGTGCTCATCGGTGGAGGACCATTGTTCGAAAAGCTTCCGGGCCAGTTTTGGGGGATCGTGGTTTGAGGACCACTGCAGTAGAATTGGGGGAGCCCATATGTGCAGAAGGTTGAGGAAGCCAAGCTGGTGATTGAGGAGGTGTCCTGTGGTGGCAGGTGAGCCAGGACTGTGGAGGAAGGGGAAGGGACACGAGTGAAAGACGAGTCAGGAAGCAGGAAGCGATCGCAGCAGCCTGAGGGAGAGGTGATGGCCACCAGAGCAGGACAATGGCGTGGGACTGACGTGAGAAACTATTTAGCACCATGGCTTTAGGGGCGAAGAAGGGAGGGGTTGGCGTGATTCGGGTTATGTCTGGATGTTATTTACTGAAATCGGTGACGCAGTGATTATTCGCTTTTCCATTCGTTTCAAATGCTTGTCTTTTTTGAAACATGTAATTCTCACACCTGCTTCGACTTTCTATTGACTTTGTTTTCATTGACACATGGCTTCGGGTGGGTGTGTTTGTGCACACCGACACCACGCTGTACTAATAATAACTGTGGATGTGTAATGTGTTCTCAATCTGGCAGAGCTGGGCTCCTTTGGCTTTCCTTTTTCAGTTGCTGTCTCCCATTTCTGTGTAGAAGTGAATTTTGGTATCGTTTCTAGTTCCTAGAAAAATTCTATGATTGTGATTGGTCAAGAGCACATTAATCCATATATTTAGTGGGTCCCTGCTATGGGGTGGGTCCTGAGAACCCAAAAATAAGTAAATCCCAGGCATTGATGGCCTGGCATATCTGTGAACTAAACTTTGGGGAGGATTGATGTCCTTTCCCATGAGCCTGGCACGTCTCTTTCTACACACAAAGGTTTTCTGTGCTTCCTGAGGGCTTTGTTGTTGTTGGAAGAGTGCCTGATTAGTTCAGTTGGCAAACGTGAGTGATGTTCATGTCTGTCTATATCTTTATGTACTAAATAAAGATGTGCTAAATTAGTCATAGCTGATCATTTTTGTTACTTCTTTGAATTTCGAGGTATGTATTATCTATGTTTTTATTTCTCCTTTTCCTTTTCTTTCAGCAATTTCTTTTTCATCCCTCATTTAATTGGTTATACTCAAAAATAATGTGTAGCTGTATAATTGTTTATAGCAATACTGTCTAAAGGGCGTGTGATTTCACCCTAATTAGGCGTTCCAGAAATGTGGTAAGGTGAAGTCGTGTTTAAATGCGATTGTCCTAATCTGAGTGGTTCTCAGTGGAAATCTACAAGCATTTTCCCTCTGCTTTTGGAGCCACACACCTTGTAGTGTGTCTGATGTTTGAGCCTTTCTTCCAAGGCTCAGTCATAAGATTGGCAGGCATGTGGCTTAAAGGCAGAATACTGAATTGAGGTAGCCTAACCTTATGGAGAAAACAATCACAGTGTACTTGGACTGAGGAAGGAACTGGAAGAGAAATTTGAAATGGAGCCTATGTGGCAATAGGTTTTTATTTATTTCGTTAGTTTTAATTTTTAAAAGGTTTTTATTTTTGAGAGAGAGAGAGAGAGAGAGAGAAAATGTGAGCAGGGGAGGGGCAGAGAGAGAGGGAGACACAGAATCCGAAGCAGGCTCCGGGCTCTGAGCTGTCAGCACAGAGCCCAACACGGGGCTCAGACCTACAAATCGTGAGATTGTGACAGGAGCTGACGTCAGATGCTTAATTGACTGAGCCACCCAGGCGCCCCGGCAATATATGTTAATATAACTTCTAAAGAAGTGATCAGCAGGTCACAGGGCAGTGGACTTAACTGCAGCCTTTGACTCTTAGAATAGTCTTTAGGAATAGAAACCTTGCTCCCTGTAGATGTTACATGGAGGTTCTGACGGCCTCTTCCCCCCCAAAAAATCATCCACACACACAAATTGGCAGAGAATTTCACGGACTCCATAGACCTCTTCAAGCCCATGGCCAAGAACCCCGGGCTAGTTCCTGGAGAGATGTGTAGTCACGGCCCCCATGCTAGAAACACATCTGTGGAGAAGCGCTGTTTACGGGTGTCTACCTCCCGTGTAGGTGTGTGGTGTTCCGCTGTTCTCCAGAACACACACTTGACGTCTGTGAGAGCCTTCCCCAGAAAAGCTGAGATGGGATATTCTCCACGATGAGATCTGGCGATCACATGAAATTACTTTCCCCGAATAATCGGCTTCTTTTGATAGTTAGTTCATTCCATAATGTTTTCAAAGCTTTTAGGTGAGGGCTTAAGAAAACGAAGACTCCTGTGGGGCAGCTGGAGTCTAGTAAAGAGTAACTGGACTTGAGTCCGTGTGGTCCCCCGGCTCTCTGTCTGACCTTGGCCGCCTGAGCCTCCCGGCTGTGCTCCCACGCTGGTGAGACGGGGCTCCTGCTACCACCTGAGAACTGGCCCTGGGAGATTTAAGAAGGCGGCATGAGGTAAGGAGGCATCAGAAGACAGGGAGGAAACAGTATGAAACAACAGGTTAGCACTGGATAAAGTAGGCGGGTTAGATTGTACCTCACCATTAGGGGCCAAAGTCGATTCCAAATGGATGAAGAGTTTCAAGTGAAAACCCAGAACCACAGAAAGGAGGAAAAGATGGAAAGTTCTTCACGCTCTGGCATAAAAGTACAGAGAATGAACAATAAAAGATAACCACGCAAATAAAACCACCACTATAAACTTAACCACACAAGAATTAAACTTCTGTCTGCCTATCTCATAATTAAAATTATGGCCGATGACTAGGTGGAAACAGGAGCAGCCACAACGGAGCATTAAGATCTTTAATGTATAAAGCTGTGTTATCGATCAGTTTAAAGAAGTGCACGACGGGGGCACCCGGGTGGCTCAGTTGGTCGAGCGTCTGACTCTTGATTTCAGCTCAGGTCATGATCCCAAGGTCATGGGATCAAGTCCCATGTTGGGCCCCACACTGAGCATGGAACCTGCTTAAGATATTCTGTCTCTCTCTCTCTCTCCCTCCCTCCGTCCTTCCCTCCCTCAGTCCCTCCCTCCCTTCCTCAGTCCCTCCCTCCCTCCCTCCTGCTCTCTCTCTCTTTCCCTCTGCCCCTCTCCTACACTAACCTGTCTCTCTCTCTCTCTCTCTCTCTCACTCACTCACTCACTCAAAAAAGCACACTATAGTGAGCAAATGCCATGAACAGAATGCTCACAGATGAAATACAGATGACCAGTAAGTACATAAGACTCATTTCAAAGTTATAACTAACCGAAGAAACCCAAAGCTCTGAGACTGCATTTTTCACTTACTAAACTGGCACAGCTCAAAATGATGATATGTTGCTGTCTCGGGAGAACTGACGAAGGCCGTCATACAGCCATACACAGGTGGGAATATAAACTGGCATTCCTTTCCAGAAAGAAATGTGCCTTGGCGTTTTAAGAACCATTTCTAAAATTGGAACCCAAATCGTCCACCTCATCCTCCAGTCTCTTGTCTCTTTGGATTCCTTTCCTGAACAGTCCCCCTCTGTGCTTTGCTGGGTCCCTTTCCTTCTCTGACCTCAGTCAGTCACAGAGGGTGTCTTTCACATCCCTTCCAGCCGTCTGTCCAGCCGGCCTCTTTCCTTCACCTGTTGCGCAGAGCCACAGCCAGGCTCGTTCATCTGGGGCTTCTTCGCGCCTGTACCTGGGATGCAGGGCGTGGTCCAGAAAGATCGTCTCGTGTGGAGGGTCAGGCCGGCCCAACTGTCACGGCCTCCAAGCTCAGCTGGGCTTTAAAGACTGCCTTCCAGCCCTTGGCGCAGTTTCCCGTCCCGTTTTCCTAAGCCTTGTTGCCAGACTTTTACTTCCCTCAAACCTACTCCACCCCTTCTGCAGACACACCCACTCTCCTGGGCCTGATGACCTGCCTCCCAGTTCCCAGAGAAGACCTGCTGCCGCCACCTTCCCTGCCCTCAAGGTCATTACCTCCCGCACGCACACCGCTCCCCCCCCCTCCCCGGGGGCTTCCCTCCTCGGCCTTCCTCTGGCCACTCTGCATTTCCAGCTTCCCTCTCTCCACTGGCTCTTTTCTGCCACTCGAGATGTTCAGGTTTGCGACAGCTCGCGTCTCTCTTCACGTGGCTTTGCTTCTCTGTCTGCGCTCGGCGCCCTGCGTCTTGGCTCCCGGGAGCCACCGCCTTCACACCTTCCTGCCCTCCCTGCCACACTCTGCATTCTCGGCCGGTCCTTCATCCTTGCTCTGGTGGCCCACACTCCCAGCTTCTTGGGCTTCTTCCCCGGCCTCCCTGCTGCTCTCTGCTCTTGGGCTGCTCTTGCGCTGCGTTGCCCCTAAGGCTTCTGTGCTTAGCCTTCGTCTTCTCCCCAGATCTGCGTTCCGAGCAAACTCCCCCAAAGCAGTGCTTTTTGCTGCTCCTGCTAACACGCTCTGAGTTTCCTTTCCGGGCGCCTCTGCTGTGCTTCGGAACCTCATAGCCAGAAACACACCGGACGTCGCCACTGCATGCTACATCGACCCCTTAAATCCGGCATTTCCGGAGCTGACCGTGTTGACCCCAACCTCAGAGGCTCCCTGACTTTCTCTGGAGTTGAAGAGCCTCGCTGTCTAGCCGGTCACTCAGCGTGGAAACATGGTGGCCGTTCTAGGGGATTCCTGCTCCCTCTCCATCCACGCCACATCACGAAGTCCTGCGTGTTGTATCTTTGTAATAGCTCTCTGTCGCCTCCCCTCCTTATCCGCTGCTTTTGGGTGGGGGGGGGGGGGGGGGGGCTCCTTATTCTCACTTGGATCTCCCATTCTCCCTCCGGTCTCTTCATTCTCAACTCCCTAGTTTCCCTGCGCACCGGTGTGTCTTCCCTCCCCAGCCCTCCACGCACCTTCCACACTGTTGCCAGAAAGATCCTTCCAAAGAAAATAATTGTAACACTGCTAGCTTACGTGTGTTTGGGTGCTTACTATCTGCCAGGCCTTTTCCCAAGTGCTAGTCTTGTGTTGACTTATTTAATACCAAAATCAGTGCTGTATTATCCCCTTTTACAGGTGAGAAAACAGAGGCCTAGAGAGCTTCAGTTAAGTTGTCCCAGGTCACAGAACCAGCAAGTCTGTCTGCAGAGGCAGAGTCTACACTCTCAGCCACTTAACGTCATAACAACAAAAACCACATTTTGAGCTTTCTAGGAATTAGCTCGTTGCGTATATCATTTCTTTAATCCACTCAGTTCTGGAAGTTGGAAATTCTTAATATCTCCACTTTTCGGACGAGGAAACAGGGGCACGGAGACATAAAGTAACCCGCTCATACTTACACGGCTTTTAGGTGGTGGACGGGGCTTTGACCCGTAGCAGATGTGCTCTGGGCTGTCAGTCTTAGCCACCTCACCCGCCCACAAGGGGCCAGCACCTTCTGAACTCACACTTTCAGGAGTATTTTTCTGTTCTTCTGGGTTGTGAGTGGCAAAGGAGGTATACTTGTGTGAGATGTTCATGCTACTAAGAGTGTGATGAGGAAAGACCAGCGCCTGTTCAAGTGATATCCAGATGGAATGGAACGCTTTGCCCAGTAGTGCCATTGAATTTCCTGTGCCAGTTGAACATGCTTCATTCTGTTTTCCCTCCTGCCTTTGTAGGTGTTGATCGTATAATTTGGGATTTTTCGTAAATCCTTAGGAACACAACTACCATAGTAATATGTTATAGCACAACAGCTTGTCTCTACCAGTAGGTTCCTGAAATTATCCAGGGTAGGAAAATTCTCTCGTGAACTTAAGACATTATGGGAGACATTTTCGTTTCAGATGGCCCAGTGAACACGTGTGTATTTCTTCTCTCTCATTACACTCCACTGAAACGTTAGGTATTTAAAAAAAAAAAAAATCTGGGAATTAGAAAAGATGGTACTAAAAGCCATTCAGAAAAACTCCCAGATGACTGATTAAGAAGCATCCCTGTCCTGCTCATTGTCCAAGGCAGGACAATAGGATGTAAGAAAATACTCAGAAAGGCTAGTACATCCATTAAAAAAAAAAAAAAAGCAAGCTACTGAGAAAAAGGTACAGAGTTCTTGGCAATTAAAAAATCTGTCACCAGTTCATAAAAAGTCCTAGGACACAAGCAAAGAAACGGTCTTTGGAAAAGCAGTGAAGCAAGTTTCTGTGTTCTTTGATTTCTCAGGATATAGGACTCCCCAAAAAGTACATCGTCAGGAATAGCACTCATAAAACAGGCCATTACACAGTCAGAGGAGCGTCCCTCCTCTTCCTGCAAGCGTCCCGTCCTATTAATGTGATTAAGTCACGTTGACGATCACACGAAAAGACTGCTGTCTTTTAGCCTTCCTGGCAGCCCTGAAGATCTTTTTTTTTTTTTATCCCAGTGGTTCTTAACCGGAAGCAGTTTTGCCGTCCTCCTCACCCCCTGATCTGGCAGTGTCTCCAGATGGTTGTGCTTGTCCCTGCTGGGGAGAGGGGGACATGTTGCCACTGGGTTTTAAGCGTGTAAGGGCCAGGGATGCTGTTAACATTCTACAGTGTTCTGGACAGCCCACAGGAAGGAATTATTTAGACCAAAATGTCAAAAGTGTCAAGGCTGGGAAATAGTTAACTGTAAATTGCCAAGCCAACTTGCAACCAGAACTTTTCCTTAGTCTCCCAAGATGTCAGAGACCTAAGAAGTTAAAAGCTGCAAGCTGAAAGTTGGCAGTCTTCTCTTTATGCTAAACTATCCTAATACTTTACTAGAAAGTAGATAAATCTCTAACAAACACTTCTTGTGCCTGATGTGCCCGCACAGTGAAGCTCAAGGCATGACATCAAGAATAACATTTAGCCTGGGGAAAAAAAAAAAAACATCTGTAGTTGGACTGTTTGGTACATCCTTCTGTCGTCACTGTCAGTCTGTCTGGTTCTCTTTCCCAGGGTGCCTGGGTGCAGTCTCACAGCCCTCCTTTGACCGGGACTGCAGACAGCCATGACGAGTCAGTGCTGGCATCATTCCTTCCCTAAGAGCTATCCCCACCCAGACTGGTCCAGTATAGATGGCAGATGCCTAAATTCTTTCCTTCTCCGCCTCCCTCTCCCTCCCCTCCGCACGACCGTGCCGTGGTGAGGTCTTCAGGAGATGAGATCTCTTTAACCTTTGTCTCTTTGATACATGTCATTATTTTAGGGTTGCCTAGCTGGCTCAGTTGGTAGAGCACACGACTCTTGATCTTGGGGTCGTGAGTTCGAGCCCCACATCGGCTGTAGAGATTACTTACAAAAATGTTACTAGTTTTGTCTTCATCTTTGAAATATTGGCATTTGGTGTGCAATTGCAGGTTGACTGGTTTGTTCGTTTTTTCTTCCTTTAGCACTTTAAAATGCCACTCTATTGTCACTTGGTCCTAGTGTTTCTGATGATGAGTCAGCCGTCATTCCTGTGTCGCTCCCCTGCACGTTAAGTGCC